TTATTATCATCTAGTGGTTCACATCTTATATTTCCAAGGAGTAATTATTAGAATTTAATATTTCTTCAAATGACTCTTTAAATAATACGATTATTTTAGATGAAATAATTGATGAATTTGATCAAATAATGATAATTATTTTGAAGATCAAATCACATTGAATGGGCATGTTGGACTAGAGTATTTTATTGTTATTATCAAGAATTTGTTTTTTTGTTTTGAATAAAAAAACGTTTGACATGTTTCTATGTCTTTTTTCTTTTTAATCAATGAAAAAGACAAACGATTATTGATTCATTATCGAAAGATTACAAGTAACATTTGTCATTTTTATAGACATATAGATCAATGAGTGGCTTTTCATTTTTGTGTTTTTTTTCTTCATGAAAAACAAAACAATCTCTGATAAAAAATCATATGAGAGTTATATTGTTATTTTTTAACCGAAGTGTTGAATTCTCATGTGTTCTTTATTTTTTTTAATATCATGTTAATTCGTTTGATAATTTCATATTATTATGCTTACACACAATCTAGGAAAAAACATACATGTATAAGCATAAAATATTTGTGTGTATTAACATATGGAATGTGATAGTTTGTCATACCAAGTCTAACAAATGTGATTATAAAGAGTTAAGCAGATGTTCACTCACAGCCCAAAAAATGTTGTCGAGACTAATTTTGCTCTTTTACATTTAATATAAGTGCTAACCAGAGAACGTTTGGCGTGTTGTTTTTTTCTCTCTAGTTTTTCTCTAGATAAATACGTATCCTATAAGACACACTGTAATAACACTATTTTTTTTTCCTTTTTCTATCGTTGTCGTTTTTGTCACTTAGCAAATATAGATCTTAGATCTTTTATTTTAATTTGAGTGCACATCAATATACTCGTATTTTAGTTGATTGTCATCAGATAAATTTTTTTTTTTAATAAAGAAAATAATCCGTCTCTCAGTTTTTTTATCATTTATTACTATTATTATTACCTTGAGCTGTTAAATAAGAAAAAATACCTAATGACATCGGTTGACACAACTTCTATTATAAACGGACAATGTCTAGGTCTTTCATTTGGTAATCTTACTTTATAATAATGGTAATGTAAGCTGTGATGAATAAAGCAGATTTTTTTTTTTTGTTATCATTAATAGTCAACTGGAAAAAATGAAGTGAGTGTGTTTTAAGAAAAAAGAAAGAATAAATGAGAGATTCTCTTGAAATTTTGTTTAAGAAGAAAAAAATCTATTGAATTAACATTTATAATACTTAACAATTCTTCATTAAAAATATATACGTGCCGTGTTTGACAGATTGTAAATTATCAAAAATCTATTCAATGTGTAAAACAGTTCAACAATCTTTTCTAATATACTTCATTATCCATTGTATATTTACATCAGGAAAAAATATATAGAAAAATATAATAGGTAGTAGTCAAGTATAATTTTATGGTAAAGGAAGAATATATAATCGCATGAAATTAGATGATAGTAAGTACTCGACGGTCTATTTTATTTCTTGCATGAATAAAAAATTTTTTCTTTCCAATTAGTTTTGTTTCTATTCAAAACACTTTATGAATAAATTTATAAAAGTATAAGGTCATATTTTCCTTTTTCCACCTAACCAAACATAATTTACATATATCATGAAATTTTTCTTTGTCTATAATAATTTTTGAATATACCTCGGAAATATTTTTTCATTCTGGATCTTATTTATTATATCAAAATATTCTATATTTTCATAATTCATCACCCTAGAATAAAATAAACTCAATTTTACATCTAGAAAATATGAAATACTAATAGACGTGCTTATTATGAGAATTTTTTTAAAGAAATGATCTACAAGATGTAATACGATAATAGACGTTATTTATTAGATAGACCAATTAAGTATAGAGAACATAGGAATTATATTTAAAAATATCTTCTTGAGTATTGTCATTATGAATTTTGATGATTTAATTAGTAATCTTTGCCTATTCATTATTATTCAATATATTTCTCTATAATATTTTTGTATGAATATAAAGCATTATTTCCTTAAGATTATTCTTCTTTTGGATTCTCTCTATTTCTTATACGTATTTCATAGATCAATTCGACTTTCATAATGAAATATTATAATAGTACAAATATTATTACATTAGATTCTACATCATCACATAGTACAATAGATTATGAAACAAGACGTTGTGAATCTGATATATTAATGTTAATAATGAAAATTCAACCAATATTTTTATTAATATTTGGTTTTATAGCAAATTTATGTTCATTTATTGTTCTTATACAACCACGCTTACGTCGTCGACCAACATTTTCATATGTTGCTTTTCTTAGTTTATCAAATGCATTTTTATCTTTAATTCATGCTTTTTTTACTATTATTGGTGTTTATTTTGGTTTAACATTAGAAAATCTTTCATTATTTATATTTTGTCGATTATTAAATCGATTTTTAATTGATTTTTTAACACATTTTTCATTATTAACATTAACAGCTGTTGATTTAGATCGTTGTCGTACAGTTATATCAAAAACAAGTGTACATCAACATTATAATTATAAAAATAATAGTCGACAATATGGTTGTGGAAAAGCATTTATTCATGTTTGTATAATTGAATTATTATTTGCTTTAATTTTATTTTTTTTTCATTTACATTGGTTAACATCATATGGTTATACACAACAACAATTTATAAATTTAAATGATACAACAAATATAACAATGTGTACAATTGCAGATAAAAATGGTTCTCTATCATTTTATGGTAGATATTTAACATCAATATTACCAATGATTGAATTGATTTTATTTGGAATTTTACCTTTTTTAATAAGTTTTATTGCAACAATAATTATATTAAGATATGTATCAATAAAATATACATCTACAAATTTTCATAATATACATTTAAAAAATTCTCGTCGTCGAATAGAATTACATTTATCAATATTACTTATATCACTTAATTGTGTATATATATTATTTACTACACCACATAATATATTTACTGTATATATTGGACATTTACATAATGAATTAGATCATAAACATGAAAATGAAAATGAATTTTGTTCAATAGCTTTTACACAAAAAAGTTTAGATTTATTACAACAATGTTATTTTATGTCAACATTTTTTCTAAATATATTAACAAATAAACGTTTTCGAGAAGAATTTTATCGATTATTACAATGTTTTCCATTTATTTTATGTCGAAATACAAATAGAAATAATTCACAAAGACAATTATCAACACATCATAATAGAACTCTTAATAATAATAATAATAATATTAATCATAACAACAATCATCATATGAATCGAAATTATTTAATAGCACCATCTCATGATATTTCTGGAAATTGGACTTCTATTAGTGATACTATCGAAGCATGTGAATTAGTATCAACATTAAATAAAAAATGAAATATATTTTAATATTCATCGAACATTAACTTACAGAGAATGCTTGTTTGTTTGCACATTGTATAATTATGTATTTTGAAAATTCTCTTTGTAAATGGTAGTCTATCAATATTTGAATATATATTTGAACGAAAAAGAAAAATGTATATTTAAGATTTAATCAAACTAATACTCAATATGATATAGTAGAGTCAATAGGAAATAATATATATAAAAAAAGAAATGTTGATGACAAATTATCAATGACATTTTACACGAGATTTCTTATTAATAATATCTTTTTAAATAGACAGAATTTTTTTTTAATTCTTTAATTCAACATGACAGTTAATGAATGTGTACTTGTATAGAAGAAAAAAAAAGATATTGAACTCCCTTGGAACTCATTGATTACTTTCGTCATGTCTCTAATGAGTCGTTTAAGATGAATTTTATTTATCTTATCTACTACGTGCATCATTAAAAATTATAGTTAACGTGTTCTTTTTTTTTTTGATATTCAACAAAAGATGCCCATTAATAAGTAATTAATAAAAACAAGAGATTATATTGATATTTATTCGAATCAAATAGATATCATCTATTGTATTTCTTAGTTTGAAAAATAATACTATTGAATTTAATGTTGGTTGTTTTTTTGTTTTGTTGTTACTTTGATACTTGACATTATCCTTATGTTGACATTGAAATTGCAAAGCAATTAAGAGTTGTTATGGTGTTCCGTTCTGTATGTTTTTGTGTTTTTTCCATTGACTCGTGGATTTCTATCTAGACTATTATGTCAATGAATAAATAATTGCAATTTAGAAATGAATTATTATTTATGGATATTTTTAAAGTACTTTTGTTTTCTTGATGAAAGTTTCATTTTTTTTTTTATTTATTTAATGTTCATATTGATGAGAAAATAAAATATAGTCAGAATACTTCTATTGTTTATTATGATAAATTATATTTTAAGTAAAATCTATATTTTTAAAAAGAAGAAAAACTTCTGAGACAATATGATGAATATTAATCATAAGTTAAATAATAATTAGATTTATTCTTTTCCGAGAGAATAAAATCTATGATTCGTTTATGAATTAATCGAAATATTTTAATATGATTTGTATTGAATGTGAATATTTATGAAGTTTAAAAAGAAATTAACATAGATTGTAAATTCTAAATTGAAATAAAATTAGCATAGAGAAAAAAAAAAGAATTATTTTTAATCTGTTTGTTCTACAATTCCCATAAATACTTTGTAAACTATGAGTGACATCTATTTGAAAAATTCCTATGATTAATTTAAGAGACTATCTTATTAAAATTCTCTTTAAAGGTTAAAAAAATTAATCATAGATATGTACTGAAATTTCTTTATGAAAAAAAATGTTTGTTACTAAGGTGAAGTCAAGAACTGTTATGGCGACGTGAAATATTTAACATTCGATAAAGAAAGTTGTATGTTTATACCTTTATTTCCTAGTGGTTGTTGATTTCAGATAATTATTTATTTTATTAATATATATTTACGTTGAAAAAAAAAAAAAAAGAAAACTTCAATGGCCAATAATGAAAATGATAATGATGCACCACAAGTTTATCTCTTAGGTAAAACTTACTTGGCTAACAATCAAGGACAATTTTATATTCGAAATGATCCTATTGTTCATATGGCTGCTGGTGATCGACATACAATTATTGTTACTGGAAGTGGTCGTGCATTTGCTTTTGGTGATAATGGTTCAGGTAAAAGAAAAAGAAAATTTTTGTTTCTTCAAAAAAATAAAAAAACAATTTAGGTCAATTGGGTCTTGGTCATACAAATAATGTTGAAAAAGTTTCATGTATTAAAAGTTTAAAATTCGGAGACACAGGTGAAAAAGTTATATTAGCTGCATGTGGTCGTGAATCATCATTAGTTGCTACAAATCATGGTGCACTCTATGGATTTGGTTCAAATAATCGTTCACAGTTAGGAATTCAATCATCTGATTCAAATACAATTTATCGTGAACCTGTTAAAATTGAATATTTTAAAGGAAAAATTGTTTGGAAACAAATAGCTATGGGTGCCGAACATTCATGTGCATTAAATGATGAAGGTATGGTATATGTTTGGGGTTCAAATGACGATGGTCAATGTGCACAACCACGTAAAACTGATGTAGTTCAAATGCCAAGAGAACTTCGAGTAGAATATGAAATTAATGCTATGTAAATATAAAGATAAAAAAAAATCAATCAATCAAGTTTGAATTCTATTTCATTTTTAGATCATGTGGATATTATCATACAGCATTAGTTAGTACAAATGGTCGTTTATTATTATTTGGAAATAATGATGATAGACAATTGGGACGTTCAATGTCTGATAAATTTTCAGGCCCAATTGAAGTTTCAATACCAAATAAAGTTAAAGCTGTTGCTTGTGGAAATCAACATACTGTTGTATTAACTGAAAATGGAGAAGTATATACATGTGGTATGATATATTGTTTTATGAATGAAATAAAAATACAAGAATTATTTCTTTCTCATGAAAATCTAAAGCAAATAGATAAAACTTAAATTTACTGAGAAATTTATAAAAAAAAAAAAAAAAACCAATTTTTTTTTGTTAAAAACTGTGGATGTCGTATTAGATTTAACATCAACATTTATTAATACTTATGCTAATGCTTTAGGCATTAATATTAATGCTTTGGTATTATTTGCATTAGAATTAATTAATGTCAATGTGTTAGTATTATTTTAAATATTAATCCATAGATTATCGACGACGAGATCTCGAATACATTAAGCTCGGAAGTTCCCAAAATCGAACAATTTTGTTCTATTTTTGGGAATGACACTTCCGGGTAGAGATGCAGAATCTGCCGCTAGGATGAAAAGTTTCTCCTTCCACGAAAAAAAAAATTGCTTTTGTTTTTTGAACTTATATAATTATATATAAAGAGACATCAAGACAGAGCACAAAACTATTATACTCAAAAAAAAAAACAATTCAGTTTCATCACTCATCAAGTAATTGTCGTAGTCTTGGAACTTGTTCATTTCAAAAATGTTTTAGCAAAACTTAACTTGAATATAGGTATGTTGAAAGAGACATGTATTGAATGGTAATAGAAACAAAAAAGAAAAGAATAGTGCACTATTCTCTATTGACAAATAAATCATACAACCTGTGCACGAACTTCATGTCCTAGTTTTCACAGAAGACTAACTTTTTTATTGATTTCCTATATAAAAAAAAACTTTTCTATTACCAATCATTTCTCTTCACATGCGTGAGCACACACGGGTAGATTCTCTACGGTTGCTTCCGGATATAAAAAAAAAACCTTTATTCTCTTTATATAAAATTTTTGAAAATGAACTCTTAGAGGTATAGTCGTAATTAGCATATGTATTGGATTGACTGTAGAAAAGTCGAAAAGTGCTATAGAAGATTTCAACTAGCAAGACAGATGTTTTATTGTGTAGCCAAATACTGACGTTCTATAATAGAGACAATAGATTTTCAATTCTGATCGATAGTAGCTCTAGATGATCTCTCAGATACGAGTCAATTTTCCATAATTTGATTCAAGAAAAGAAATGTTCTTAAATTTTAATTTCATTTTTTTATATTTCGCTAATTTTGTATTGTCAACAGAAATAAGATATATGATAAAAATTTCAAAGAAAAAAAAACAATACCCAGATCAAACAATCGGATGATAAGATCTTTGAAGAATCGTATAATAGAATTTAGTTTCAGGTTTTGACTTTTGGAACATATAAAATATCATATGTAGTTACAAAATATTTAGATCATTGATTTGATCATAGTAGAACTCGAACTAAATGATACTCATTTCTGATAATGAATATTTTCATTAAATTTTAATTATTAGGACTTGGTGATCGTGGTCAACTTGGTCTTGGTCCTAGAGTTCTTTCAGCAGACACCTTTGAAAATGTTCAAGGTTTATCAAAACGTCTTACAACTATTGCTGCTGGTGAAGGTCATACAGTTGTTCTTACTGTTCGTGGTGATATGTATGTATTTGGTGATGGTAAACATGGAAAATTAGGTTCACAAATTCATTCGAATGAATTTGAACCATGTTTAGTTGATAAATTTAAAACATATAATGTTTTAAAAGTTGTTTGTGGTGGTTGTCAAACAATAATTCTTGCTCAAAAGAAAACTAGTGAACGAAAACAATCATCGGGAAGTGAAGGAGATATTGGAAGTATGTTTTCAATGATGATTTCAAGAAAAACAAAACCAACTATATATATATATATATTTTTCATTTCTCTTTTTTTATTTTTAGATACAACACTTTCAATAACTCAACGTCCAAAAAGTCAAGCACGAAATACACGTATTAAAACAATAGCTGGTCGTTCACATACAGTTGGTGATTCAACTGATACAACTCTTCATCATGTTAGACCACTTGGAGCAGCAAATCATTTACGTGTTGAATCTGATGATGATAAATCTGATAAAGAATTATCTGCATCATTAAAAAGTGCTACATTTAATCAAACACATACAATAACAAATGGAAAATTTCTTCCAACACAAAGTCCATCATTAAATCGTACTAGTTTTCGTTCAAATGATAGCGATTTAAAACCATTAAAAACAGGTGCTTTAGATCATACAGTTCGTCTTAGTAAAGATTTAGATGATTCAATAAAAACAAATAATCGTTTTTCATCAAGTGATAAATCACCTATACGTAATACACGATTTGATCGTACAAGTCCACAACCTGTAAAAAAAAAACAAGATTCAGATGAAGATAAATCATCATCTGATGAACCAAAAAAACCATTTACTAAAAAACCTGAACGATTATCTCCACCAATACGAAATGATCGAAAAACTTCTCCGATAGCACGACGTCGAGATGATAGTGAAAGTGATGATAATAAATTTAAACGTCCATCTCCTATTAAAACACCTATTAGTGAAACATTAAATCGAAAACCTCGTTCACGTCATCGATCAGATGAAGAGGAAGAAGAAGAGGAAGAAGAAAAAGAAGAAGAAGATGAAGACGAAGACGAAGAAGATAAGAATAGACCATCTAATCGTCGAAATAAACAACAACCACCACCAACCGTTGCACGCCGAAGTTCATTACCACCTCAAACACGTTCAGGAGTACCGACTTCATCAACACGTGATGGAAATCAAACAATTGGTGCAAGACCAGTTGATGGTGTTCGAGGTAGTTTTCGTTCACAAGCAACGAAAACACTTGCTAAACCAAATACAACAACTACAAATACTGATACGACAAAAAAAGAAACACCACCTGCTCAACAACCAGGTTTTTTTGCACGAATTTTTGGTTCAAAATCAACGCCAACATCATCTCCACCAGCATCACAACCGGCAAAAACACCAGCAGTAGTTACCAATTCAAGAACATGTTCAATTATGTAGAAAAAAAAAAAACTTTTTATAGAATAAAAGCTTGTATATAAATATATGTATGTTGATTTTTAAAAATTGCTTTTCTAATATTATTTGTATGCCAGTAAAGAGTTTGTTTGATTAAGTTTTCATTTGTAGAAGGTGAATGTATTCAGGTTGGGTTTTTTTTCTTTTTTCTAGTTATTTACTTGGTTGTTGAAATCAAAAATTACTAACATTAAAAAAAAAGAAACATTTTAATTTTGATGATTTTTCAATCGATTTTTAATACAGTGGAAATAACAGTTCACGAATAAAGTGATAAATAAAATTAGTTGTTAGTATTTTCTTCTTCTTTCAATTAATTCATTTAATATAAATATTGTAAACGTTATCTAGAAAAATAGCTTCTGAATTGGTTTATATAAAAATTTTATTATAATTAAAAAACTATAAAATCTGTGCATGTGGCAGAAGAGAAGAGTTTTAATCTGCACACCCACACCTATACACCACATCCCGAATAGAGCTGAGAACAATTCAAGTTGTACCATCATATGCTGAAAATTGTCACTTGCCTCACTTGCACTTATATCAAATCAGACGATAGTAAATTAATTGAAGACTTGTTGTCATTCACGTGTCTGTGTCATAGACATATCACCATATCAATTATTCATAGATGCATACGTGTTTGTGACTCAATGTGACTACAATATCAAAGATGAGTATAAAGCAAAGGAAAAAAGAATATTAATCTTTTTTCTACACTTATTCATAACTATTGACGCACGCTTATTATATATTTTTCTTCGTCATCTTTGTTGTTCTTCTACTTCATGTGATGAACATGACGAAATCGGATCAATGAATAGATTTCGTTGCTATGAAAACAAGTTCTATTTGTTAGTCTTGACTAAGGCAATGAATCATCACCATTTGACTTCATTGATTTGTCGTCGATGAGTGTTTTTTTATTGGCCAGTAAAGTCAATTTCATATCTTTGACTAAAAATGACTGAACATCTATCGTCAGAGACACTACATTGTACAGGAAAGCACAACAAAAATGCGAAATCCGAACTGGAGCCCTATAGGTTACTACGATACATACACCATTACAGCCTACCGTTCTACCAACTGAGCCAAGTTCGGATGCTTAATGAAGATCGAAACAGAGACAAATTTCATATTTGATCACTTTCACTTTGTTAATGGCAATGCTATTGAAGAAAAGGTTCTGTTTGATTTTTTCAGTTCTCAATCATCCGATTTCATTGAGGCATTCTTACACTGTTAGTAATAGCAAGGCGTTACGATCTCAATTGCAGTATTTGTTCGATGAATCATCCTGTTGGTACATTCTTAGATTTGAGATGTGATTCATTCATCAATGTCGAATTATAAGCTCTCGATCGGTTCAAATCGAACATCTTAATCTGACGAAGAGGTTAATTTAGCATGCGAAGTGTATCACGTATAGATAGTGTTAAGAAAAGAATCGTCATCTAGATTCAGGAAGCATTCTTATATACATTTTAACATCTAGTCTCTCTCATTCTCCGCGTCGATTGATTCTGTTATTCCAGGTACCTACTTTTGTACACTCTGTAATTCGAAAGAAGAAGCACATGACGACAACACAAGCTTTGTAGCCAGTTCGCGATCAGATTTTCAATTCTGATTTTATCAATCAAGATAATATAGTTGTTAATAAAAAATAAAAAGCATAACAAATATAGATTTTATAGAAGACAACAATTCTTTCATATCTAATAAGTGAGTGAGTCATAGTTTACAAGAAAAATAAACAATCCATCAAAATAAGTTAATATTCAAGGTATAGGACATTTGTTCTTAAAATTAGCGATAATGAATTAATTTTAAAATAAGTTCTTTTGATATAATAATGTCTAAAAGGTTACTTCTATTGATTAATAAAAATTACAAATTCTAAATTGATCAGATTTTCACAGTATTTATTTTATCTTCATCTATACATTGAGTTTATTGAAAAAAATTATCTAATACCATGCTAAGTTTTGTCCATAAACATTTTTCTAGTTCAAATATCTTTAATTTTAATACATGAGAAAGAATATCTTAGATACTGAACTTTTCAGTAAGTAAAATACAGTAAAACATTGCTCAACGTATTTTAATTCTTAAAGGGGAATTAGTTAAGTAAAGAAAGAGCACGTTTACAAATACTGTAAACTACAGTGCAGAATATATTTTATTCTTTTTCGCACGCATCTATTATTATCTGATATTAACAAAAAAAGAAAACAAAATATGTAAGAAACGAAAGAAAGAACAGAAAGAAAGAGAGAGAGAGAAAAAAAAGAGTGGAACGACAACACAACGATCAAATTAGAATATTTGCGAACATTCCATAATTTGCCATTCTTCAATCATCAGACGCATATATATGTATATGAATCGATTGAACTAATTAGAAATATTTCAACGTTTAAGTACGACTATCTAATTTTCTCAATACTCTGTCAACAAGATAATGAGTAGCTTTCCAATTCATCGTTATCGTGTTTTCGACGATCCATTTGATCGATTCTTTGGTGATCAACTAGATTTTTTCGATCCATGATATGATTTTGATATACTTTCATCAGCTTTGTCTATTAGACCAAATACATTTCGATGGATAAATGAACCTAATCGGTTAACACATGTATCCAATAATATATCAAATGATGACACGCGTCTTGAATCATCATCGTCATCATCACGAGTAGTAAATGCTGAAAAATTTCGTGTACAATTGAATGTAGCCGGATTCAATCCAGAAACAATCAAAACCAAAGTTGAAGATCGGAAAGTTATTATCGAAGCTAAACAAGAAGATCATCAGCCCGATAGTGATTATAACATTCGAAAAATACGAAAAACATGTGAATTACCTGAACATGCTGGTAAATAAAAACAAATCATTTCATATTGAACTGTTGTATTTATTATTTTTTTTCATCTAGATTCAAATCATCTGACTTCATATGTAACTCCAAATCATATGCTTGTCATAGAAGTACCTATTCGAAATCCAGAAATAGAACATCGTCTTGTTCAAACTAAAAAGAAAAATCAAAATTTGACACAATTCGGTCAATATCGTGATCCATTATTTGATTACGTTGGTTTTTTGGAGGGTTCTAATTTTCAACCACGTATTATTGATAAAGGAAATAATCAAAAACAACTTGAATTGTCAATTGAAATGAAACATCATCGACCACAAGAAATTAAAGTATCAGTTAAAAATAATGAATTGATTGTTCAAGGTGAACATCATCATAAAGATAAGAATCGTTCTTCTTTAAATCAACAATGTTACCACCTGGAACACAAATTGATCAGTTACAATCATATTTAACTGATGATGAACAATTAAAAATTGAAGCACCTTATGTCGAACAAAAAGAAGCAAGAAAATCTATTGAAAGTCAGAAAAAATAATGTCAGAATGATTTTTATTAGAAATATAGTTATATTTTTGCTGCTTATTGTATAGTTTTCATTCATTTCTTTTTTTTATTTGTTTATTCGGTAATAAATGAAAAAAAATCAAAACCTAACTTATTTTGATTTTTGATAATGCATATCTTTGAATTAACGATCAAAATTTTTTCACACTGAACATCTATTCTATTTTCAACCATGAAAACAAACTAGGGTGTGGGAGTAAGTCTGAGTACGGCAATGTATACGAATGAAGAGAAAGATCACAGCTAAACCCATAACAGTCTCAATATTTTAAAAATCTTGTTCCAATTCTTCAAGTTCTGAGTCAATTTCTTTGTCATCATTATTATTACTAGTATATTTGATAACTTTGTTTTTGATGACTATGTCATCAGTTGATGGATGCCGCGTAGTAGCTGTGTTTACCTTTCGTGTTTCAATCGATAAAACAATGAGCGAACCTGATTTTCATATAAAATTTCGTTAGCCGAAAAGTAAAACTTCACGTTTCCTTTCAAGGTCTTCATATCTAACGTCATCTCTTTCAGTTTCCAATGTTTCATATCGGAAATTCTTTCATCAAATTTTTTTTTTGGAGATATCCACGCTATTTACCTGAAAAATCTGTTTTTAGTCTACGTACAGGTAGAGCTCAACTTTCGAAAGAGAAATCGTTTCGTCTTTATTCATCACTTCTGTTAAATTCATATCAACAGATATTATTGGTCGATTTTCGATTTCTTCTAATTTAGAATGATACATTTTGATTGTTGTATCCTTTAATGAAAACTTTTCAGCTATGCAAGAATGGTTACCATTTTTTTGCAAAAAAAATAATCATGTCACTGAATGTTTGAATGAATGGTACAAGATCAGACATTACTTATTCACATGATTTGAAAATAATTCCAATAAAAAAGAAATTTTGTTTCTCAATTAAACGAATCTATTTATTCTCATTTCGTCAAGTCAAAAACGTTACTTAAATTAGAGAAAACTTATCTTGAAATATATTGTTTGCTCTATTTTATCTTTCTATCAGTCGAAGAAGTATCAATGGTAAACAAAATTGAGAATTATCGTGAACATGAAAATAACACAAAAATGTTGAATAAGAAGAAAACAAAGATAATACACATCGATTTTTGATGATAAATCAAAGTCAAGAATCAAATGGAATTCTTTCGAGATTGAGACTAAAATTCAATCTCAAAAAATGCAAACAACATATTTAATTCTTTGCAAGACATATAAGTGATCAAAAAATTATTGGAATACCTGTATATAATCATAAAGATAAGTCACTAACTAGGAAAGGTAACATTTGATTTTCATTCAGTTTTTACCGGAAGGTAGTCACAGATGAGCTCTGAATGCAATACATATATCAAAGTTGGGGACAGAAAGTCTGAGATGTGAGAAGGATTTTACTACAAAGCACATGTTCCTTGAAACGAAACATTATTTGAATAGTCACGTTTATCATGTTTCAACTGCTGTCTCATGTCACAAATATACTTCGATTATATACCATTTAAGAGAGAAATTTTTTCTCGTGATGATGAGTTCTTTTGAATTGAAAATCGAACTTGAAAAATAGGCCAACAGTTCGAAATCCCTGAAAGGTCTATGGTTTTTAGACAAGCGAATTTTTTTAATAGACTTTTGAAAATGTTACTACAACAAGCTTTTAACTTCAAATATACCATTCGAAAAAATCATTGAAAACTAAGACTAAAGATGCATTTATGAATGCTATGTTAGGCTTACATCTAAGTTTAAAAAGTGAGTTACTTGTTTCTAACTCATAGACGACACTAACATGACATAGCTAGCGTTATCCTACTCATAGTGAGCATATAAAATATTTCTCTCAATATAAATTTATAGAAAAGACCTCTCTACGACCTTGATATGTTTCTAAGTTATACCAAGTGGAATCCTAGTTAGTATAGACGCTTCTTTCCATTTGACTATTCTATGAAGACAAAAAAATAGCTATTTCCCTTTATTGTAACTGTCATATGGAGAGAAGTGTCAATACTAACGAGGACTCTACTTGATGCGATTTAGGTACATATCTAGGTCGTAGAGATTTTTTTTTTCTAGAAATTTATATTAAAACAAATATTTTACATGATCACTATGAGGAGGAAAACGCTAACTAATTATGTCGTGCCGGTACCGTGTATGAGCTAGGAACAAAAAACTTATCTTTTATGCTTAAATTTAAACCTTACACAACGCCAATAAATGCATTCTTAGTCTCAGTTTCCAAAGCATTTTTTCGAATGGTGTATTTGAAGTTAAAAACTTGTTTTGATAATATGTACATAAATCTATAAAAAAATCCGCTTGTCTAAAAACTAAAGGCTTTCCAGAGTTTTCGAACTTTTGACCTATTTTCAATCCAAAAAACAACTCATCATCACGAAAAAAATTTATCTCTCTCAAATAATATATGATTGAAGTATATTTGTGACATGAGAAAACAGTTGGAACATGATAAATGCAAGTATTTCAATAGTTTTTTGTTTCGAAGAATACATAGTTTCTAATGATCTCTATGTCACATCTCAGGCTTTCTGTCTCCAACCTTGATATATATATATATTGTAGCTAGAGTTTACCTATGGTTATCTTCCGTTGAAATCCAAATGAAAATCAAATGTTACCTTTCCTGTTTATCGACTTATCTTGATGATTAGATGCAGGTGTTCTAATAATTTTTGAACTTCTGTAGATCAATCGGTCAATATGAGTCTAAAACAATTGAATTCGCTGCTAACTTTTCTTACGTCATATTTTCTAAGAGTTTAAGATCATATTGAATTTTGTTTATTTGATCGAATAGAGATAATTATCAAAAGTCTTTCAATTTAATCTTCTTTTGTCTTGTTTTATTCATTTTCAGAAAACTGAAATAAACTATTTTACTAAAAAATAAAAAAAGAAAGAAAATTTACGAAGTTAAGTTTTGATCAATAGAAAATCGTTGAACTCGATGATTCCAACAATCGACAACATAAAGATTTCCATGTCGATCAAATGCTATACCTTTTGGTTCATTAAGTTGATTCGGTTGTTGTCCTGAACCATTTCCACCAATAATAATAGTTCCTTGATAAACATCTTTAGGCCAACGAATAATTCGATGATTTCCACGATCTGCTATATATAAATTTGACGATGGATCAACAATAATTCCACAAGGATATGATAATTGTGTTAAACTATTTCCTTGACCTTGACCTCCAGCTATAATAATTCCTTCTTGTGCATTTTTTATCCATTTCATAATACGATGATTATCTCTATCCGAAACATAAATCGATTGTTCATGATCGACAAATAGAAAAGTTGGAGAATTCAATTGATCAAGACGATCACCTTTTCCATTACCTCCAGCTACAATTGTTCCTTGAGTTTCACCAACTTTCCAACGTTTAACAAGACATTGACGAATATCTGAAACATAAATAAATCCATGTTGATCCATTGTTAAACAAGCACAATCAATATTTGGAATAATTGTTTGTCCACTTGTTCCACCTCGATAAGGCCATTTAACTACTCGTCGATTTCGTTTATCACAAATAATAAAAAAATCTCTTTCTTTATCAACAATAATATCGATTGGACCATCTAATTGATCGGTTCGATTTCCTTGACCATTTTCACCAGCAATAACAAGACCACTTGTTGCATCAAATTTCCATTCTACAATACGATTATTATTAAAATCAGCTATATAAACAGTTAAGTCATCATCAACATAAAAACCATTTGGACAACTTAATTGATTAAATCCATTGCCTTTTCGACATCCACCAGCGACAGTTAAACCATTTTGTGTCCATTTTGTATTGATATTAATCATGGTAGAAGGGCTTTGTACTACAAAAAATAGAGATTTCGACTGTTGATTAAGATTAATTACTTAGAAGAAAAAAGAAAAAACTTGGTGTCATAACATAAAGTATATTTCTAGAGAGAATCCTTAATCAATTATTAGAAAAATAATTCTATAAAATGTATTCTTTCTTTTATATTTTCGTAAAACTTAAAAGAAAACAAATCACATTAAAATTATTCTTGATGTATGTCTTCAAAATAATGAATCTATATTTATTTCTTTTATTCACTTCTATAATTTTCTATTGGAATTTCCAATGCCTTCAGTGAATTGATCTCGTCCGATGTTTCGAAATTTCCATAAATAATGTAAAGTAGAAGAATTTTTTATTTAAAGAAAAGATTCCATTACAAGAATGAGTTCATTTCAGACAATTACATTCTATCTTTGGACAAAATCATTATTTTAAATGCTTTTTAATATTAATAATCATCACCAAAAAATTGGATTTTGTGCTAAGCAAAAAAAATCTTTCCTGTTCTTTCAGCGTTGGTATTATCTAACTTTCCAAGATAAGATATTTCAAATGTTGATATGAATTAAATAGTACACTTCACTAATCCATCCATCCTATTTAAACAAAAGAGAATCTATCCAGTTAGGAAAGAAAAACAATGAATTGTTTTTGAAAATAGCTGAATCACTTCGCACTCGAAATGATCTGACAAAGAGTATTTGCAATCTAAAATAAAATCAATTTAGAAGAACTAAACTATGAATCATAATTCATAATTGAATGATTTTTCTTAAAATGGATTTAAAATTTAAAATATGGAATTCATCGAAAATTTCTCTAGGAAATATTCAATAGAATTGAAATAAACTATAAAATTAATTTTATTAAAGACAGATCTGATTAAAATCAACTCTTGACTTGTTTTTTTTTTCAAATTCTTTCACTCATAGTCTGGTTATCTATTTTCCTGTCTTTTTTTTTGATAGTTAGGACATTATTGTAAAATAGAGATACAAGGTAGAAAAAAAAGAGATTCTCC